ATGAATCATAAGTATATACATGTTACTAATCCAAAGGGTAATACTATGTTCTTCAGAAATATAATTAATGAAAACTAACATAAAAATATAGTACTCAACATTAGTAAATATAGTTAATGGGGGCCTTTAAGGAAAGAGCTATTACCTATACAAATGGATTCCCTTGGAGGGTATATTTGGGAGAACCATGATAGAAGACTCTGGGGTTATCGCCACAGAGTTGGCAGTAACTATATTTGTTTCTGTTTAGTTTCTTTATTCCATACTTGCTGGGTACATAGAAACCCATACTATTTTAGCATGGCTATAAGAACATCAAAGCTTGAATGCATTAATGTAACCCAGTAAGGTGGATATGTTGGAATCCCTTACTAACTACACCAAAGGAGGAGCCTTCCACCCTAGTCAACACCTTCTCTTCATTCCTCAATCAGTGGGGAAAACACCACAAGAGCTGGCAGTTGTACATTGGGAGCATGGGACAATCTCACCGTGGCCTCTTTCTCTGGTGAGAAAGAAATTTAATCAGCGTAAAAATCAGCAGCACCAGCAGAAGCTGCCATCTTCCTTCCTTCAGGTCCTTCCACATGAAGTTCTCCAGTTCTGTTCGGTTGCAGTTCTGGTCACTCATATACAGCGTAACCATCCTTTAGTATTTCAGGTGGATACTACATCAAGGAAGGTGCCCTCTGACTAGATTACTCACACTGTGTTATACAAGGGAAACTGCTGAAGACTGATAAGTGTTCCTCAGCCCTTCCAGATGGGCTGGTAAGCTAGATTTTGAAGTCTGATATCCAGAGACCTGTAGTTTGACTAAGAGGGGTATAATATATGGGGGAAGAGGGCTTACGCTAAATTTACAGCCAACCTTTGCATGATTATACAGGGGATCAGGAAAGATCCTACCTGCCTTGATACACATTGTAGTAGGAGAAACAACTGCACATAAACGAGACACCCAGCTTGAATTGAGACAACTCCTAATGCTGGGAACACTTATGGTGGAAAAATCACGTACAGTGAAGAAAGGGTTCAATCACTGAAGCAGATAATCGGAGAGCAAAATAGCCAGTAGCCCACAGATACACAAAGTCAGAGGAAGGGAACAAACCATGTGCAAGACACAGGCCTATACCCAAGGAGTAATTCAGGCCCACGTTAAACGCATAGCCACAAACACACTTTGGTTCAGCCAACGGTAAGGAGACATAGTCAACAGTGTCCCTGTTGTACAAGCCAAGAAGATCACCAACACATTAAAAGAGACACACGTGGAATTGCCTCAAGGAAAACACGCCTGTTTCACAAAGACGTGAGCAACATCACAGGTGGATTGCCAGCCTCCATGTATAAAAGCTCACAAATATGTGTTCTCAGGGACTTCACATCTAGCAGTGTGGAGTCCCAAATACAAATGTTCACAGACATGGAATTACTCAATAGTCATAGTCACCATTAGCCTGGCCCAGACCAACGATCCATCTGAGCCTAGTCTCCAGAATTCAACAAGAGAAACATGGCTTCAGCCCCCATTGCAATGGAGGCCACTGGGGTAGGGGCTCCATTTCCAGTCCTAGGAAAAAAGGGGGCAGAAACACATGGGTGACTCACAGCCACAAACTGCTGGTGAGGTTGCACAAAAGACAGCCCATGCACCCAACATGGGTGTGATGCCAACGGGCCTTACCCAGATACCCACCCTCAAAAGGGACGAGACTGAAAGAGTGGTGAGAATAGAAAGAATTCACACATCCTTCAAAATAAGCCAGCATCTCCTTAGGGATTCCCACACACACATCCTGAAAACAGTTTCCAGAGGAAATCACAGTGGTAATTATGGCATGATTTTATCTTCTCCCTGACACTCGCAATTTAACAGATGGCTTGCCTCCGCTACCTAAGCTTCTTGGCTGATCCCACCCTTCATCATCCCCTCAAACACACACTCTCTGTCTCTCTCTCATTTTTTAAAGACCAGCTTAGCGTCCCACTGACAGGATCCTGTGACAACAGGTTCCACAGGTTGCCCATCAGCTGTGTGTAGGAAAAACCGTCTGGTAGCAACAGAATATATAAAAGAACATCCTCCATAGGACAAATGTAAACATCCCAGCCAAGATAAACAGTTTATTGTCATTTGTCAAACACCAGCAACACCTTGCAATGTCACCTTCCCCCCCATTGGTTCAGCCCCCTGCTGCTTTATTGTTCTTCAAAGAATGGCACCTGACCTGTGATATCCAACATCATCACCATCTCCGCTGTTTCCTGCCTAACTCCATCTTTGTTCCTTTCCTCCATCTTTTAATTCTCCACGCTTAGCCCCCGGTCCTTGGCTGAGTGTCAAGAGTTCCAAAAGAATTGAAGGCCACCCAACTTATGGAAAAGGGGGCCTAATATTTGAATGGCTATGAGAGCCTTTTGTAAAACACACAGTCTCACTTTTAATTCAATTTCACACACACACACACTTTTCCCAGGTGTCTTCTAAAGCCAAGAGCTAGGAGGGCATCACAAAAGGAACCTGAGCCCAAATCTGGGAAAGCCCTGGAAACATCTGCAAGAATTCCACTGCATCCTGGCACCAACTCACAATGACTGAGCCTCTTCCCCTGCCCCTCTCCCCACCCAGAGAAACAGATCCACTGGCCAGGCAGGCCAAAGAGCAAAGCTACCATCTCCAATCACCCTTCTGTCCTCTGGAGACCAGCGAGCTTAAGCTAGCCAGAGCTTAAGCTAGCCACCCGGGCTAAGGAGAGAGTTGGCCAAGAGGCTGGCTGGCCACTGTCTGCCTTTCTTGACAAATAAGTCCTGGTTCCAGTAAACAGAGCTGGATTGGTGGGGAAGGGTCAACTATGGATTTCCTACAAAGAAGTTGGGGAAGCCCAAACTTCTGTAGGGCATGAGCTGAGAAATGAGGGACCAGCCAGTGCAATTATTTGAGGAACAGGTAGCTTGAACCCAACCCTACCTCAACTTTCTACATGTTTACCTTTCTGGAGGAGGGAGAGAAATGAAACCCAGCGGATTTCCACTGTCCCTTAGCCCCCTTTTGCTTTGAAGTGCCAGCAATAAGAATTTTTTTCTTCCTAATGACCAGGAGATAAATCACTCTGCAGCTCAGCCTCTGAGCCTTTCCATTCTGTTCACGGAAAAACCCCTCCCTTAATTCCCATCCTACTTGTCAACCCCCTTATTAAGAGGCCGATTTAGACAAACCTCCAATCAACCCAATCATGCATTCCACCTCTTCCCCCCACCCCTCCACCACCTCTGTTCATGTGGGGAAAGAGTTGCGTCTTTAGGAGCCAGTCTGCTGCCTAAAGAGGTGGAAAAGGAGAGCTCCTAAGCCCCTCCACACGTCTTCAAGGCACCTGGGTTTCCCTTGGGCAGCCTTGGGACTTCTCTCTCCACTCCAGACCCCAAGACCTGCCATCGGAGCTGTCATTCCTCCTGTTGATGAGAGGTGTGGTTCCTCCACCTTTGGGGATGGATGGAAAGAGTCGCCCCAGCCCAGCTCCATCAACTCACCTTAGCCAGCTTCTCATCCAGGCATCCTTTTGTTTGGGGGGGGGGGACCCCTGAATTCCTCCAGCAGACCTAAAAGGGGCCCATCTTCTTCTTTTGCACCTCCAATCCCAGCATCAAATGGCAATCTCAGCTCTCTTAAGGCCCTGCTATATGCATGGTGTGTGTGTGTGTGTGTGTGTGTGCATGCGTGTTTGTGACTGTGCGTGTCTTGGAAGCTGGACAAAACCCAGCAATACCCACCCCTTGAGCTGTAACTCTCCCACTCCCCAGTTGCCCTCCCCTTTATGAACGGATCTTGCAGCTGGGAGGATGCCCTGTTACTTTAATCACAATCACCCCATACACACACACACACAGAGCTAAAGATGCCTGGATCGCATGCCACTTTTAACCACTATCCCCTGCTACTTTCATTAGGCATCTCTTCCTCACTAGCCTTTCTTTTCGCGGAGCTCAGCCCAAGTGCCGTAACCATTAGGCACAGCTCTCCTTTTCTGGGACTCAAGTCATCCTCCCACTGGTTCCCACTCCCAAAGGGCCCAGGGGGGGGATCATCCCCAATTTTAACCCTGCCCACTTCCTGCTCCCTGCCTGGAGGCCACTCCACGCCACATGAGAAAAGGAACTCTTTGGGGTGAAACCAAAGGGGCATTCCCCCCCCTGCCCCTCCCCACCTCTCTTTCTCCCTCCTAGAGGGGAGAAGGGAGCAGATGTCCTTCAGTTAAGCTGCATTTCCCCCCCCCCCCCTTTTCAACCAATACAGATTCCCTTCTCTGCTAAGAAAAGGCAGAGGCTGCAGTGAAGTCTCTATAGTGTAGATGTTTCTGATCCTTTTGCAGTTCCAGACCGGTCTGGATTAATTCAGAATACAGTAATGAGGTTAAAAAAAAACCACCTTTTTTTGGCATTTCATACTCTTGCAGTCTGGATGATCAATGCCACAAACAAAACACGCTCCCTTACCCATATGAATATCAGAAAGGGAGGGAGAGACCAAGAGAGGGGCTGTCACCCAGTCTCCCCCCTCCCCTGCAAACCAAGCCCCTGGGGTGGGCAGCTAAGAAGAGGCAATAATCTGCTTTCAGAAGTCTAAACTGAAACCTCAGGCTGGGGTGGGGGGGGGCACGTCCCACAGAAAAGACAAGAGGACAAAATTGTGACATCAGGGTGGAAGGAGAAATGGTTTCCCCCCCCCCCAAGGGAGGGAGGGTCTCCTTCATTTTCCATCAAGGGTTCCCCACTTTCCATGGCTCCACGATAAGAAAAAAAATGCCCCCCCAAAGAGGCAGTGATGGAGTAGAAGCCCCCACCCCACCCCCCAAACCGCCAAGTAATAAACCTCAGTGCTGCGACTCTCTTCCACAGCACCGGGACATTTGCTGCGGGAAGGTACATATTCAATACATAAAAGAAGAAGAAGAAGAAGAAGAAAAAGCAATGAATTAAATAATTAAATTTACGCTTACCTTTTCATGACAACTCCTGAGAAAAGGATAAACCAGGAAACTGAAGAGAGGAGCAAAATGTTCTCCGCCTCTGGAGATACACAGAGAAAGAGATGAGTCTGTATTTTTTCTTTCTTGGTTTTGGGTTTTTTTAAAAAATAAATAAATAAATAAATAAATAAATATGCAATATTATTTTTTCCTAGCCTCTCCCCCCCACCCCCCCACCCCCATTTCTTTTCCTCCTGCGGGAAATCAAACAAGCGCTAAATCCAACCAGCCGCGGAACCAACAGCAACATCTTCCCCTCTCCTTCCCTTCCAAAAATTTCTTTCTGATCTTTATTCACCGCTCAGGCGCCCCCCCCTCCCCGCTTGCTTTTCTCTCCCACCCCCACCCCCCATCTGTCTCCGTTCAAGGTTGTTGCAGGCTTCCGCGCTACACATGTTGCATCCCAAAGTTAAAGCAGAACCTGGCGCCGAAGCGAGCCCAGCGAGGAGGGGCTGAAATAAATAAATAAAGGGGGGAAGCCCCGCTGCCTTCTTCTCCCCACCCCCGCTTCCAAGCTGCCTTTCTCGGGGCCTTCAGCGTAGAAATCTCTGCATCGCTCACAGCTTTGAGTTTCCTTCTTTCCTTTATTTATTTATTTATTTATTTGTCTCTTAAGACCACCCCTCCCTTTTATTCTTCTTCTTCTCCTCCACCTCCTCCCTCCCTCCCTCCCGCTTTCCCGGGTCACCTTTCTATAAAGACACGCGGCGGTGCAAAAATAAAAAATAAAAATAAAAATAAAAGAGGGGTGCGCGTGAAGACGGAGGGAGAGAAGCGCACGGGGAGAAAGGTGGAGGAGAGGAGGGGGGCGGGCCCGTTGAGGTGCTGGGGGGAGCTTGGTATATTTTTATTCCTTTAATGCAGACCAGACCACGTCGCCTGTCCTTTCCCCCCCGATCTTGCAAGGCAAAGGCAGGCAGGCGGGCGGGCAGGCGCGCGCGCGCGCAAGCACCGGGGAGGGTCATTAGCATTCAACACCCATCCCTGAGCCTCACCACCAGCGCGGCAGAAGCAGGTTGCGAAGCCGGCGCAGCCGAAGAAGCCCAGCGCCGCAGTCCTGGGCGCTGGAAGGCGGGGAAGGGAAGGAGGGAGGGAGGGAGAGGAACAGGGATCCGACCCGATCCCTGCCTTCCCCGAGAACCGGCTCCCGGAGCAAGAGGAGGGAAGCTCGACCGTGCACGCGCGCACACGCCACCTGGCACCGGCAGAAGCTGGGTCCGGCGTCCCTGAGTCTCTGGGCAGGTCTCAGAGAGGCCGCCGCTGAGCTCAAGGCAAAGCGACAGCCCACCCGCTCTCGCTCGGAGGGTGAGATTGCGCTCCCCCCGGGGGAGGCAGGATCTGTCTCTCCAGCATCAGAGACGAGGGGGGACCAAAAAGCAAATTCACCGTAGAGGGAGGGAAGGAAGGAAAAGGTGAAAATCGACCCCCAACCTCCCCGGTTCCGTTGGCTTCCAAAGTCCACCGCCCCTTTCCAAACTCACCCACGAGGGGAAAAATGGAGTGTAGGAACACACCCCAACACTTTCCGTGGCATGCGGGAATGATGGAGGTCTGTGTAGATGGAGCCGTCCCGTGCTTTAATAGGGCTGGGAAATAAGCAGAGCAGCAACCGGGTTGCAGAGAAGATGGAGTAAGGTGGGGTGGGGTGGTTCCTGCCGGCTCTCCTTGGCCGCTTACGCCAGGAAGATCCCTCGGGTGTTTATTGCAAGGCACGGGAGAGGACTTAAAAAAAAAAGATGTGAGAGTGCATAAAATACCCTGTCCCAAAGGTCAGGGTAATGCACACAGCAGCTTGCTCTTTCTCTTTTGCCTTTGTCATTTCCGCCCTGTAGCCAAAAGGCCGAGAGGCTCGTTGTCAGGGGGACGGATGGGAGACCAAGCGGAGGTTTTTTTTTAAAGTGGAGTAGTTATTCAGAGAAAACAACAGAGGGCGCTGCGCCGCTTCCATCTGGTGCTGTAGATTGACCCCAGAGGGGGGCGTTTGGGAAGAGTTTCAAATAACACAAAAAAACCCGGACCGCTTAACCTATTTTTGCGGGTCAGGGCGCAACTGAAGGATCTACTTAGAAGAAGCGGAGAATCAGTGCTCGGATGCGTGTGTATGTACATCCAAAGACTGGGATGGGCTGCAGAAGGACAAGAAAGAAAGTACCCAACTGGTCACCCAAATAGCAATTTTATTAAGAATCATGCCATCAGCCTAATCCGGAGCGCTTCGTTGACTTAACGTTGCCGGGCGGCCGTTCGCCTTCATCTCTTGCAAAGGGTCTTTCCCGGATTTCTCCGGGCTCGAGCCCACGCGAGGCTTGCGGCTGAGCGCACAGCAGTTCCCGAGCGAAGAAGCACATGCCGAGTTAGAGCCCCGCCAGCACCTCCCTACTTCCGCCGGTCTTTCGGTGCCTGTCCCTTGACCCCTTCAAGGGATCAAAGGCTTGGAAAAGCAGGAATGAGCAACACTCAACGGCTGTAAAGCCAGGGATGGCGCGAGAAATCCGCCTGCCGCCCTTTCTCCTTTCCCCTGCGCTTTAGTACTTTGGTTCACCTACATGAACTGCAATGCTCCCTCTGACCAGGAGAGGGCAGCAAGGAGTCCGAATGGACCGGGTGTCTCTGCAGCCACCTAGTGGCCGAGCGCAAGTGGGCCACTAGAGAAAAACGAAAAGAAACGAGGCAGAGGGAAGATCGTCGCCTTGAGGGAAGCGGAGCATCCTCCTGTCCTGGCTGGTTTCCCCTTTCATGCTGCTACCACAACTACACCTTTCACACATCTCCCCGACCCTGCAAGGCTTATAAATAACTCACCTGGCAGAATTGTTTTTGTTGTGGGGGAAAATTGGAGGAGGAAGGAATATTAGCTATGCTAATCGCCTTGAGTTATTCATAAAAATAATAAAGACAGGATATAGAATCAAATAAACAAACAGATTCCAATCCTGAGAGAGGAATGGGAAATAACCATGTCACTCCACTTTATGTGTGCATCAGTCACATAACCGAGGACTCGGGGGAGGGGGGGGCTTGCCCATTTTCACACCTCTAATGCCAGATCAAAGAGATTTTCAGTCTAATCCATTCAGCAAGACATCTTGTTCCCCAAAGTCCTTTCACCTTTGATCAGTGAGGTTCTGAGGACCGGCATCTATCTTAAGACACCAAAAAGGAGAGGGACAGGATTTATGATGGATGACTTTGTCTTGGTGTACTCAGTCTGCAAATGTCTTAAAATCCCCCATCTCTCCCCCCCCCTCATTTCCCTGTTGAAAGCACCTGCGCCCTTCTTGCCATACAAGGATGCTCCGATTTGCAGGGTTAATGTTGACTGCTCAGAGAATGATGCCAGTTTAGGGGCATAGGGCTAATTAGCGGATGTTAGAAAAGTTGGCATGACTGGGTACCCTGCAGCACAGGTCCAGTTCATGCAGTTCTTCAGTGCAGAGAAGACTTCTGCATCCGTTAGGAGGGTGATATTAGGAAGATAAAACAGTTTTGCTTCTTCTGAAAGTCCCAAACCATTGTTTTTATTAACTATTATTCTCTCCCCCAATAAACAAAAAAAAAAACAAAAAAAAAACACTCTGGAACATCGTCAGCAATGCAACACAATCCTATTACAGTTGCCAAAAAAGTTTTGGGAACCTCCTTGCTGACATCTAACTAGTGTTTGGGATCTTTTGACAATCTGCTATTGGGAGCAGTTTACATTTAACCCAAAGTAGGCAATCTCATGCTGCTCCATCACAACCTGTTAATAGAGTTTCCTGCTTGTGCAAGGGGTTGGACTAGAAGACCTCCAAGGCCCCTTCCAACTCTGTTACTCTTATTATTCTGTTAATTCTGAAATGCTGGCTGGGAATGGCAGGCTCTGTAATCCAGAGAGCACCAGAGACTCCACAGATTGCGAATGGCTGTTTCAACACATGGGGCTTTCATCAGCTCCCGTGTCTCTCCACATACTGAAACTAAACACTTTCATTTTCCCCAAGAAACAGTGAAATAGTTTTCTATGCAGATAGTCCTCAATTTATGACCACAATTGGGACTGGAACTGTTGCTTAACCAGGCAGTTGTTAAGGGGATCACACCCAATCTTACAACATTTTTTTTGCTGTGGATGTTAAGTGAATCACTGTGTTGGTTAAGCAAATCCAGCTTCCCCCATTGGTTTGGCTTATCAGAAGCCCCCTTGAAATGTTGCAGGTGGCAATCACATGACCCTGGGGTGCTGCATCCATCATAAATACACACCAATTGCCAAGCACTTGAATTTTGATCATATGTGACAGTCATATGTGTGAGGACCAGTTATAAATCACTTTTTTCACTGCTGTCCTAACTGAACAATTATTAAATAAATGGTCGTAAATTCAAGGACTACCTATATTATTGTTATGCAGCCTTTGGCAGGATGGATCAATTACTTTGACCCTTTGTCTTCTTTGAAAATGTTGCAACTTTGGGATGGAAATTTCCTTTTTCTTGCTGATACTTCTGTACTCCCCCTTCCCTTTCCTCTCCTCTCCTCTCCTTTCTTTTCTTTTCCTTTCCTTTCTTTTCTTCTCCTTTCCCCTCCTCTCCTTTCCTTTCCTCTCCTTCCCTCCCCTTTGCTTTTCCCTTCCCTTCCCACATAGCCTCTGCAACCCTTGTCTGAATGGTATGGGGTCTCCTGCTTGAGCAGGGAGTTGGACTAGAAGACCTCCAAGGTCCCTTCCAGTTCTATTCTGATGGACAAACAAACACAACGTTAGAACTGGGAAGTTTTAAAGAGGGAGGTTAGAATAGGAGGAGCGTTTTAGCCGAGTCCTTCTAACAGCAGCAGGAAAGCAGAACAGCGCAGAGAAACAAAGAACTCCCTTTTCTATTCATGAGGCTCCACTTTTGCTGGCAGGAAACAAGGGAATGGGGAAGAAAAGGAGAAAAAATAGAAACAAGAGAATGAAAATTGCCAGGGTTCCAGCTGCCTTTAATGAGGGAGCTCCATCCCACATTTTAGGAAAAAGGAAACCTCACAGACTAATAAATTGAGGCAGGATAAAACTCCTACTTCATTCTCTGAATGGAAGAAAAGCACTTACAGAGA